ATATGTCTTTCAAATGTTTTTTAACATGTTTATTCTGGAGCAGAGGCGGATCCAGGATTTAGAAGCTCCGGATGCCAAAAATTTTAAACGTAGTCATATTATAATTTACATTATCTAATAGGGTATAAATTTAATCGGTTTGGTCTATTTGAGTTTCGGTTCGGGTTATTCGTCTTTGGGATTAATATAAACAAATCGACCGAGTAAAAATATTACGTAATAATTATGATAACTTGAAAAAAAGCATAAATATTCAATTGGATTATGCATTTTATACAAGAAAAAATACTCGTTATCACTTTATATTTAGATACTTAAGGCAAAAACTTATACTAATAAGTACTCTAAATATTAAGTAAGTTTACGAACATTTTTCAATTTATATTTTTCATAAAAATTAACTCACTCGATATTATATACAATTGTACTACTTTAGAGCAATCTAAAAAAAAATAAACTTTCATCATTGATTAAAACAATAACTTATTCAAGGATTCTTTTTTTAGTTTTTGCCAATAGATTTTCAGAGTTGTGGTCTTGGAGAAATCAATTAATTTTTCTTTATCTATTGATAAATAACGGAGGAGTTAGGAAAGTGCAACAATGGAGATTTCTATTGGCAAAAAGATCAAAGAAAAAGTCAATGAGACCTATTAATAAACAAAAAAGAGCAATTAAGTAAAGAGAAAAAAGAAACAAAGGATCCTCCTGTAATTGTCTTGAATACACCAAACAAAAGTTTTGAAAGTGAAATTGTCTTGCCAGTGGCACCTTGAGCCTTTTTGTTACTAAGGGTGCCACTGAAAGTATTTGTATACATTCCTTTTATATATACATGCATGTATACATACTATTGCATAGTTTCGGCCAAAGCTTGCGGGTGGCGTACCACCCCGTCCCTTACACGTAGATCCGCCCCTGTTCTGGAGTCTTCTACCTACAAATAATAACTAAGATCCACCATGAGTTCCAAATAATCAAGCTTAAACATAGACTAAATGCAAACAAATTTAAGAACCAACTTGTGATAATTAATTGATGTGATATCGTGATCCTTGGTCTTTTAGGTAGAGTTTAGAACGAGAAACTTTCCCTTCCTCCATAGTTTACATTCATCAGTTCCGGTATCTCTTTCAGTGCTCCGGAAATAACCATTTTTACTAGAATTGCATTTGGTAATCCGGTAACTTAATTTTAGCATAGACCTTTAAATCTTTTGGAAGTGAATGATGGAGATAACTTAACTTCTTGCTGGAAGTAAGTCCGTTGTAGCGATAAATACAAGAATGAGATATTTGCATTAGGTTTCTCTTCCCCCAGGTTCCGCTGCAAACAATCTGAATTCCCTTGTCTCTACTACCACATTATCATTCCTAATTTATACTTGTAGGTTTAGTCTATACCGTCTCCCTTGGCCCCGGAATTTGACTATTTTCTATCCCCTTCTCCTTCCTTTCAGGAGAAATTTACCTTTCTTCTGTGCTCTTTCACAAGCCAGGAGAAGCTCATGTCACTAATTCCTTTAATTTGCTCTTTCCACTTTCAAAAGATTAGATGTCCTGATCTTCAAAAATTCTATCATCAACTCTGTTATTTAACTTGTGGTTGGGGTCAGTGAAGAGAAGCTAGAGGAAACAAGTATAGAGTCATGAAAGTTCTTGGAACGTCTTAATCACAGTTAGACATTTTTTGTGTGATGACTAAATTGAGAGATTGCTCGCAACTACACTATTTTCAAGATCTTTGTGTTCTTAAGTTTTGGTGTTTAAATTCAATTATATGCATAAATATTCCTTGATTTGAAGTTTTAGTGATGAATAGCATTTATATGCAGATTTACTCCCTGATATTTGATTAGGTATACATACTTCAATTGCATTGAGTTTGTATCCTATTACTCATTCTTTTGAATGTCAATTCCTCTGATTTGTAATTTTCTAATAGTTATTGATTTCTGAATTTCTTGATTTTTTGGTGAAATAGTTGCATGGGTCTTCAATTTGAAAACTTAAACAAATAAAACCAAAAATTTTAGATTACGAGAACGAATTTGAGAACAATGAGCTAGTGACAATGTTCTTAACATATAAGCGTTTGATTGAGTAGCAAAAGCCAACTTTAATTGGCAAAAACGATGATCAACACTCGCTTTCAGCATTTTCTCACTCCAAATGCCTAATTTCTTACACCTTTTACATGGTATGATTTTTACTCTTTTAGAATAAATGCTCCATGTTGCTTTATCATGATTATGTTATTGCATGTTGGTCTGTAAATTAATACGCTTAAGTCTTCTCTTGGCTCATGGTTTTTTGGTTTTGTTTGTGGAAAGCTGCAAATAAATGGGAGGGGGGATTAATCAGATCAGCACTACCTAACACGTTCATTAATTAAAATCATTTATTTTCCCTGATTGAAACATGTTTGATGGAAAAAGACAATGCAGAAATGAACATGGAAATGTTTTCGGAGACCTAATTTACCTTAGTGTCTTGTAAATGACGCGTGATGTGCGCTAGGAGGACTTACCATCTCTTGTTGCGCTGTTAGAATAGCAAAAATTTAGCATTTGTGAGCTACTAAGTACTAACTATCTCTTATGATGTTATAATGTTATAATGTATATGCAGGCAAAGAAAGATTCGGATATGCAGTGATCTGATGGAACATATCCTTTTGGTACTAAGCTTTGGGCTTTAGCTTTATGCTAGCAACGTTTTGTGAGGCCAATTGAAATTTTGAACATGGTTACTGAGCTCCAAGGCTTTGTGCTATTTATCTTCTCTCCTACTTATTTTTGTTGGACACGTTAAAGTAGCAGTAAAACCAAAATATCTAATGTAATAAAGTGAAACAGTAGAAGCCAGAGTGGTTAATTGAAGAGGAAAGAACTGCTTCGTTTTTCACGTGTCTTCTCTTTTTTTTTTTTTTTAAATTTTGAAGGTGGAGGCTACGGAAAAATCAGTATATCCTTCATGGGCGAGTGTAAAGGGATTTTTACACTAGCAGGTTCTTAATAGTAGTTAATAGCAAACGAAAAATTTGTGTAATAAAGAAAATTAAGAAAGGTAAATTATAGAAATGTAGATAAGCTGAATAAAGAAGAACTGTCCAATTCTATATAACCTTTCTCAAACTAGTTCAAAGCAATGTTTTAAAAGGCGGGGCGTGAAGCGAGACGTTTTACATCTGACGAGGCGAGGCGTAAGTCCCACGGATCTTTAAATTTTACTAATTTCAAGAATTTTAAGATAGTATAAAATAAAAGATAGTTATAAAAATTATATTAAAATTACAAAATTATAAAAAATAATCTATTTAACATATTTATAAATTATAATTCAACTATGAATAATACGAAAAGTATGACATATATCATAATATGCAAATTAGCTGCAACGCCGTTACAATTCAAACATCAAAAGTAATGTATTCGATACGAAATTTTATATGTATCTCTTAAGGAGTAATGAATCTTGAAAGAATTTCGATATTATAATTTGATATATTTTTTTAAAATACTCCTTTTATTTAATATGCTTTCTATTTGAAAGAGAATTTATATAAAAGCATAATTCACAATTTAAATATGATTCTCTAGCATCATTTATTTTTAAGTTTCAATAAGTTAATAAAGTGACACATAATTCACAATACTATACCATGATAACTAATTATTTATAAATAGTTACTAGCTAATACTAAGCTATTAAATTAATAAGTATTGTATCTCGTAAACGTGAAAAAAATAATAGTTAGGAAAATAATTATTAAAAAAATTATGGACTATTATATAATAAAGACATAACAAAAGTTAATAAATAAATACTTTTTAAATGAAAGATTTATTTAAAATTTACTATCATAGCAGTCTTAGTGGATAACGTGCAATAATTTTTATTTTAATTATGATAAAAAATATTCTCAACTTAATGATTTAGGATTAAGAAAAAAGTAATTTTGAATAGTCAACGATTTATTAAGAAAATTTGAGGATTTACAAGGTTAGTTACACACAATTGCATAAAGTTCTATTAGGCGAGCCCAGTACGCTGGGTGTTTGGCGTGTCCGGGGCGTAAGCCCCGACAACCGAGGCGTAAGTCTCACGGAACTAAGCCCCACACCTAAGTCCAACAGCGTTTTACGAGGGGGAAGTGCACGGTTAGCCACTAATTAGAGATGTCTTTACTCTTTAGGCACTGTTTAAAGTATATTTACTTTTTAATCAGTACTTAATAATTTTTGACCCGCCTCGACGAAAATACCCCTGTGCTAATATTAAAGACATGATGTCCTTAACTTCATGAATGATGTGTAAATATTAAGGACAATGTGTCTTGTATTTGCACTTTCCGTTATTAAACTGTAGAACATCATGTCCTTAACTTCATATGTGCAGTGTAAATGTTAAGGACATGACGTCCTTAACTTCATGTGTGCAGTGTAAATGTTAAGGACATAATGTCCTTAACTTGTATTTGCACCTTCTGTTGTTAAACTTTAGGATCTCATGTCCTTAACTTCATGTGTGCAGTGTAAATGTTAGGGACATGGTGTCCTTAACTTCATGTGTGCAATGTAAATGTTAAAGATATAATGTCCTTAACTTTATGAGTGTTGTGTAAATATTAAAGACATTGTGTCCTTAACTTCATGAGTGTTGTGTAAATATTAAGGACAAAGTGTCTTATATTTGCACCTTCCGTTGTTAAACTTTAGGACATCATATTCTTAACTTATATGTTCAGTGTAAATGTTAGGGACATGGCGTCCTTAACTTCATGTGTGCAGTATAAATGTTAAGGACACTATGTCCTTAATATTTACATAGTAATTACGAAAAAGGGTAAAAATATCTTTTCGTATTAATTTTAATAGAGTAGTGGCTATTTTTGTTCCGCTTAAAAATTACTGGATAAAAAATAAATAACGTGTTAAAAAGTGGCTATCCAACGTCATTTCTACGTTTTACAGGCCCTAACCCTGTTCGGATTTACAAAACGACGTCGTTAATAAAGGACGCGAATTCTCCACGCTCCCTCCGGTTCTTCGTCAAGGTTTCAGCAAAACCCTGATTCAAATTCAGGTAACAATGGTGACAGTCATGGACTGCAGGAATTGGGACGAAAACGTATACAGAGACTCCATTTTACTGGAGAGAGAATCGCAATGCCGAACTGTTTTCCGTACTGCATTCGCCCCGAACCCGAATCCAAACCATAATTCTTATCCGGACCTCATCGTTGCCGCCATTAGCGACGGCTCTATTGCCTCTTACTCCATATCCTCTTGCCTCGTAAGCTCAATATGTCACTCTAACTTAAAGAAGCAAAATTTATTGACTAAAGTATTAAGTTCTTTTTTTTTTTCGGGCTTCTTCGTCTTGGTAGGATTTGAGCTCCGCGGGCAAGTAAGTTCCTGTTTTCTCAATGTTTTCGAAGTATGAAGGTATGTTTTGGTTTGAATTGATAATTTATTTGGTGAATTTGGTTTAGTTCGTTGGTGCCAGTGGCTGAATCTAGTTGGCTGGTACAAGGACATGATGGACCTGCTTATGATGTTAAATTTTATGGTAACGATGAGGATTCACTGTTATTGAGGTATTTGTTCTTATAATTTTTTTGGTTCATGTGTATTCCTTAAAATTGTAGGTGAGTTAGCACAAATGTAATATAGTTCAAGTTTTTGTTTAGAGTGAAAACTGAAAACTATGGGCATATATATCTTCAAGCAATTGAAATGCCGGTAAATATCTATTAAATTAACTATAGCTCATATGTTTTAAATGGTCGTAGCTAGTGATTAAGCTGTCAAACAACTAGGTTAACTGGTTTTCTTTTTATAAGTAGACGAGGGAGGCAATTATCTTGTGTACTTATCACAAAAAAAGGAGCAAAATCTTGTATAAATTTCTTCAATCAATGTGATTTTTGTTCTACCATAGATGCCGATTCTTTGTTAATGTAGGTGATTTTATGCAGTTGTGGTGATGATGGTCGGATTCGTGGATGGAAATGGAAAGAATTATTGGGGTCTAAGGAGCCGGTGCAAGGTACAATTTTTTTAGTGTGCAGTTAGATCCTCGACCAGTTTGGGATTGAGTTGACAAGTCGTAGGTATTGTAGTTTACTGACGGATCCTCTAGCATCCTACTTTAAATATTTGAAAACCTCTGCCTGGCATTGCTTCCATTTCTAATATACGACTCTTTTTATTTAGATAGGAAAAAAGCATCGGTTCTTAAATTTGAATATGTGCAATGCTGAAAGTCATGCAGCTTAATAAACTATTTGCTGCACAAACTTGTCACAATGTCTTTGCATTATGAGAGGAAGTCCAAGAGGGAAAGAATTTTTTTTGGGGGGGGGGGGGGGGTCCA